TGTTTCTGTCAGGACCACTATCGTCAAAATGATAGATATTTAGCATAAAGTTTGGTTTGGCGGTATGGTTCTGTTCTGGGCAAAAAACCTCCCTGCCCATCCATGCAGCCTGTCATGAATGAGCAGGGAGAGCAGCAATAATAACCCCCCTAGGGTTAACAGAACAGAACAATGCAGATATCATTAATGTACTCAATGATATTTAAGTGTAACACTTTATTCAAGATAAAGGAGTCTGATTAGCAAGGAATATCAGAAAGCTAAGTCCTGACTGTGGCGAAAGGTGGAGCTGGGGATGGAGGAGGGTAATTTGCTCCGAAGCAAGCTAAAAAGCTGCTGAATAATACTGAATACAGCTTATATAGGAATGCCGCGATAGGTGTCGTATTCCTATAGGTAGATGTGATCAGCTGAGAATCAGCTGATGCAAGCTTGACTCACGTGACCTGCCAGAACTAACGCTAAAGCTTAATTTATGCTTGATGTTTTGAATGGGAGTGCTTTTGATAAACCTGTTTCATTTACAAATGGTTTAATAATTATAACGCTGTATATCATATCCAGACAACTGTTCAGATGAAAAGAAAATGGAAGAGGTTATCAATTGAACTCCTACCGTATGTTATAAGAACTATATAGGAAATTAATTATGAACATATGATAGATGATAGCTATAAATCTGTTTTATCTGTTTGTAAAGCAGAGAGTTTAATTTCAGACCATATAACAGGAGATTTTAATGGCACAAACTAAACAAACAAAAGTTTATTTAGATCTGATGGTTTTGTAATCTATACCAAAATGCACAGTTGTGCCGGATGAAGTGCTATCTGCAGTCTTTATTAAACATTCTGTAATATATTGTCCTTTTTTTTTGGTCTGTTTAAGTATATTTATAATTGTATTTCTGTAATATGAAATGGCACAAGCTAAATTAATCAACATTATGATAAAGTCTATAATCCTACATATTGAATTTCTCATTGATCCAAATGTTAACCCTCTGATTTAGGAAATTTCATGCACATCCAAATTAAACCCAAGCTTAAACTTTCAATATTAATGTCATGAAATGGCATTTCGAGTCAGCTTATGTATTTCTCATTTGAGACTTAAGTAGTATGTCTTGTATATGAATGTAATGATGGTTTAATTGAATGATCCAATTTGCAACCAAAATAAACTTCCCTTTCTGTTGTCAGTCTTCTTGTATTTCTCATTTTTCTATGAGATAAGCCAACTGCCATCACATCTATCTGCCATCACATTATCTGCAAATGCTAATATTTGTAATAATAAACATTAAAATTTATGTAAAACTTAGTTTTAGAGTTTAGAAACTAATCAGTTACTTAATTAATACATTTCAATTCACTCATGCTCAGTCAACATTAAAAAAACGACAATGAGTGTATCCAATATCCAACAAATGAAATCATTCAACAATCCATTTTGATTATGGAAAGGAAAGGGAGGGAGAGAGAAACACCCTTGAAGGGGTCACTTATTTTTTTTTATTAATATTAAATTTTTTCTGGACTCCATTTTAATGGTTAAATAATATTGTATCAATCAAAAAGCATGTCTAATTGAATGAAATTATAAAAAATTATACAATTTAACAGCAATGTATTAAAAGTTTAACAAAAATCTATTTTTAGGGCCCTATGAATTATGTTTTAATTTTTCTCAAATTCTGTTTGTTTATTTATTCTAAATTTAATTCCATTTTAATGGTTTAATTAAATGTTATTTATTTCCAATTATTACAATAATTATTATTAATGTTTTTTAATTCTTTTATTATATAGATGTACATTCAACTGTACAATATATATTTCTGTCACAATTTATTCAAGTTAAAACGAACTTTTATTTTGACGGTTGCCGTGAAGAATTGTTTGTGTGTGTACATGATACTATGGTAGTTTGAAATGGTAAATGCTCATGAAGTGACTCTCGGAGCAGTTCTGGATATGATCATGTGTTTATGTCCTCATTTAGTGAGAGGACAGATGCTGAAAATATGGTGAGCATCAGGTGTAACTTAGTAGGTGAAACCAGGGTCTGCTTCGTTCATTCACTCAGACACGCAGAACATACAAGATTACATTATTGTGCGTTCCATTTGTACTGGGAAGATGGAGATTCCCAGTAAAACTTTTAACGGGAAAGCCCAACTCCACTTGGAATCTGGGAGGGTTTGCAACAACTCCTACTTCAGAATCCAATATGGCTGCTCAGTGCAACAACAGAAGAGAAACAGTAGTAATATATTGTGTATGTTTGTCTTTATCTCAATAAACTTTAGAAGTTAAAAGGATTTGGAAATACCTTTGGAGGTATTACTGTTGAGGAATATCCATACGCCGTCCATGCTGTTGAGAGCAACGTTAAGATGCTGAGCTCATTCCTTTTAATAACAAAAACACTCAACAAAAATTCTCACAAGCAGTGAGAAGACAAGAAAGCATCTGATAAAAGACTCCTGGCATCATGTCGACACATGAGGTAATTAAAATTACACTGTTATTATAATAGTTTGATTATAAAGTATATTTAAGACTATATGCTATGTGAGACATTTTATTCTCCTTTGTTCTATTTTTTATTACAATAATCCCTTATAAACAAGTTATGTCAAAAGTAATCTAAAAGTAATCCAAAATAAGTTAGAATACATTACTTAAAATGAGTAAAATAGATTACATTACTGTCTACAATTTTCAACATGTAATTTGAAATCAGTAACAGACTATATTTGTAAGTCTACCCGGCACCTTCCACAACCTAGGAAGTCTCAGGCCCTTACGATGAAAAGGAACTTGTCATTATTTTGTCACTGAAATGAAGCAAGTTTGTGAACAAAGTCTTAAGTTTACCTTCAGTAAAAGTAAAGTTTTAAAACGGAATTTTGCCACTCTTCTTTACTGCTATAATTCACAAAGTTCTGCAGTTATGTTAAGTTGTGTAGG